TGAAAGTAGGTAACAAATAAATAAGACAAACAAATAATTATAATGAAAGTACGTAACAAATAAATAATACTAACAAATAATTATAATGAAAGCAGGTAACAAATAAATAAGACAAACAAATAATTACAATAAAAGTAGGTAACAAATAAATAATTATAATAAAAGTAGCTAGCAAATAAATAAGACAAACAAATAATTATAATGAAAGTATGTAACAAATAAATAATGCAAACAAATAATTATAATGAAAGTAGCTAACAAATAAATAAGACAAACAAATAATTATAATGAAAGTATGTAACAAATAAATAATACAAACAAATAATTATAATGAAAGTAGCTAACAAATAAATAATACAAACAAATAATTATAGCGTAAATTTGGGTATAGTACAAACGAATGAATAATATATTGTTACCTGATCTGCTAAATTTTCCCCACTTCGAAGATTACCACTAGCTTGTGCCAAGACGTCTCTCCACGTACTAAACGATTGGCTAAGTAATTTCCAACGACTGGATATCGATTATTTGGTTCTTTTCCCATCAATTTTCTCAAGAAAACTGGTATGAATAAGACTCCACATTTCTCGCAACTGCATCTCATTATCCATAATCGGATCATGAGGAACTTCAACCCAGCTAGTACACAATGCAACATCTTCAAAAAGCATCCAATTTGTACCTACATCTGTAGTCATTTTGTTGGAAAAAAAAAATTGGATTGAAACTTTGAGAGAAATATAGGAATGTGGTTGAAAGTGGTTCAGAAAATATGAAATTGTGGTGTAAGGTAGAAGATAATGAGAAGGTATTTATAGAAAAGTAAAATCTTTTTTTTTTTCAAAATTTTTTTTTCTGATTTTTAATAATTTTTTACATTTTTTTAATTTTTTATTCACCTAACTAATCTATACCGTTGGATTTAAACAAATTTGAATTCCAACACTCCATATTGTGCCACGTGGCACAACGGTAACATTTTTTTATTTTTTAACTGTTTTTTCTTTTTTTTTTAATTTTTAAAGTCGAATTATGTGGACCGTTGATCTCAGATCCCACAGATGATATTAAATAAGGTTTTTTAATTTTTATTACCGTTAGAAATCCAACGGTCCACAATTTCTAGCCGTTGAAATCCAACGGGCATGGGGAAGCCACGTAGCTCCCTAACGGTAACAAAAAATTAGTGTGCCCCGGGCCCCTTTTCTGACTTTTTGTCCCCTGACATGCGCCCATGCGCGCTTGAACGCCACGCGCCTGACAGAAAAAAAAAATTAAAACAAGCGTCTGACATCAGCTAACGTCAGACTCACCTCAGGTGCTCGGGCCTGCTCGGGCTCCCTCGCCAGCCAACACTAGACTTCCTCCCTCGGGCAATCAAGCCCTGTGTTGAAGCTTGTCCATCGAGCAATTGCTCCCGCTAAAGCTGCTCTAACTAAATCATCCCATCCCATCCCATCTTGGCATTCCCCGACCCCATCACGTCGTTCCCCTCCGGCACCACTACCCTTGATACCCACACCCACACCCACAACCAAACCGTCACAAGTCTCACCCAAAATCCAATGTGAGAGTAGACCCTGGCCCCACCCTACTAACATCGTATCAAATTTTCGGTAAGTGAAACAGAAGGGTTTCAAAGTCAGTCTTCTCCTATTTCGTGATAATCCCTTAACAGCAAACTCCTAGGCTTTGCTTCCCTTTGTGCAACATCGGGCTCGTTCCGTGCAAGGGTTTATATGGACTTGTTTTACTATATATCGCCATTAACTTCGAATCAGCTGCTAGGGGCTGACGGAATTTCATCATCCACCTTGATGGAATTTGAGGGCAACAATTTCCATTCTTTTGCCAAAAAATGATCGCACTACTACAAAAGAGCCTTATAGTGTCAATGGGTGGTGTCGGTTTAATATAATGTAGTGGCGGATAAGACAGTTGACACACCCCGATCCAGAGAATCAAGGCGTGACGGCCAGCACGCCTTGATTCTCTGGAGCTGAATCGGCGCTGGAGGTGGCATAGTGGCCATGAGGAATCCATCGGTGTTCTGACAAAATTCACAAATGTAGGACTCACCCTCGGGTGTTTCATCTTAGTAATTGTATTTTTTTTTTAAAGCTTCCGAACTGTGTAAATGGTTACGTCACTCTCACGTGACGGCCAGCATACCCTCCTTCGGGACGGGGTGTGTCACAGTTGCGATACTAACTGAACATGACATCGGATTTACTGTTACTTATAAGCGTCCTAAAATATCTACGTCACTTTTAAACCGACGTAAACATTTAATGTTATAACCTACATATATTTTAATAATTTTAAATACTGGTGTCGCTTTAAACAAAACAGTGTCACTTTTAAGCGACATAAAGCCTAGGTGTCACTTATATCTGACACTAAATATTGTTTTTAAATATTTTAAAGCCTGCGTCGGTTCTGAGCGACATAGATTTTAATTTTTTTAAATATTTTGAAACCCGGTGTCGGTTGTAAGCAACAGATTGATGGTCTTTATGCCCTCTCCCCCGTGTTTTCTTCTTCCTCTCTTGCATTTTACTTATTTGTTCTTCCAATTTACAAACCCTCCCCGTGTTCTCTCTCTTGCGCCTTTCTTATTTGTTCTTCCAACTTCATTTAAATTTGTTCCTTCTTCACAACAGTAAGTTTTTCTTGCTTCTAATATTTTTATTTTCTCCTCTTATGTTTAATTTTTATTAACAATTTATTTTTGTAGGGAATTTATTTCAGTTGGTTGAGTACATAAAGAATTGATCGACCACGTAATTCTTCCATAATTCATGTTTCTATCACTAAATTCTTTAATTTTTAAATTGTATAATACACAAGTTTATTTATTTAAAAATTCTAATTTAAGTACTTAGATAAATTTCTACTATTTTTGTTATATTAATAAATATTTAATCGAATTAATTAATTTTGTCACTTGAATTGTTATGAGAAAATGGAAATGAATAATATTTATAAGCATTTATGTTGAGTTAACAATATTATATATAACACAAACTTATAATATTTAGTAATATAAGAATATATTATGTTAAATTAATTTGTTTTGCACTCTAATTGTTATTTTAATTTGTTGTTATTTTAATTTGTTTTTGTTGTCATTTTGATAACTTTGATAACTTTGGTTGTTATTTATTAGAATGGATTAGATGAGCCTAATTTTGATAACTTTTTGTTGTTATTTTAATTTGTTTTTACTATAATAGGTGTTGAAAATTAAAAGATTGCAATCGTGATAGAGTTCGAGGGTTGAACGATAGAAATTGAAAATTCTAATAGTTATGCCTACATGATAGGGATTGAAAGATTGTAGGCATTTTAGTGTCAACGTAATATTTTGCCCTCGTAAAGTGGTAAAGCATGGACAAGAGTTGGTTGACGATACCCCAAAATTTTGAAGCGTATACAGCTGGAATTAATTTATTTTTTGGATCAAGCAGTTACAAATGGTGTTGGTCCTGATAAGTTTAGATGTCCTTGCAAAAGATGTTGTAATCGATATACTTTTGTTAGGAACACTATTGTTGAACAGAGGCAGATTGTCTGCCCTCCTGTTTGGGTGCCCTTCCCATCCTCTCCTATTTGTGCGGTCACGATTAAGCCACGTCATAATTTTATATTCTTATTGTTTTTTGTCTTATTATCTCTATAAAAAAAATTAATATAAAACGTTGACGTAGCTTAACCGTGACCGTACAAAATAGGAGGAGATGGGAAGGGCATCCAAACAGGAGGGCAGACAATTTGCCTCCATTGTTGAACATCTCATATTGTATGATATGGATAAAGATTATAAAAACGCTTTTGTGGCGACATCATGGTGAGCAAAATATTGGAGAGCAAAATGTGGCAATTGGAGAAGAAGAAACAAGAGATGAGGTGATTGGCATGCATGATTTTCTTAATAATAGTATTTGTCCAACCATTAACAGAATAAGGTGTTGGGCCGTCTACTGAATCCCCTATTGGGGAGGGCGTCCAGAAGAGGTGGAGACTTTTTTTAGGTTGCTTGAAGAGGCAGATCAAGATTTGTGGCCAAGTTGTAAAGAGTTTAAGAAATTGAAAGCAGTTGTAAGATCGTATCAGATTAAGTGTTTAGCGGGAATACCAGACGAGATTTTCACCACTTTACTGTATCATATCGGTATGAAAACCGATGTGTACCCAAGAAAAATAGTTTCCCAACAAGGCAAAAAAAAACGTCACTAAAGTCTAGCGGCAGCATACGTCGCCGTCTTTAGTAACTTCCACCCCTTCTCCAGTCCGATTGACATGGCAACTGCCACTTTACCCACTTCCCCCAAAAATAACCAAACCAATCTGTATTTACTCTTTTTACCACAATAATCACTCCAGCTATGATTTCTGTTGCCAAAATAAATAAAAAAAACTTGGAAAACCAATTGGGCAAAAAGATCGGCAGCCTCTTAAAAAATATGGTACAGCTTGGAGTCTGACTAGCACACCCTCAATACTCTCTGCCCACCCAGCTCTTGCTTTCCAAATCACCCATACATATACTTTCAGGTTTCCCACCTCCTCCCCAACCACCACATACAACACAGACTCATCTCTAATTTTCTTTCTCTTGTAATTTGTTGGCTCCTTCTCCCACCACCACCACCCGCCGCCTCCTCGGTCTCTCTGCCCCTCCTTCTCCTTTCATACTAGAGCATACTACAGCCCCAGAATCCCAAAAGGATTAAAAGGTTGCAGTAAATACCATTAGAAAGGAGGAGAGGGGTCTCTGTCATGCCCTCATACCGCTGCCATCCCAAAACATTACAAAAAGAGACAAATACAAATACAATCCCCCAAATAAAATATTACTGTAAGATATGATCGGATAAAGGGTCCCACAAAAAAGTGCATAATTACATAAAGCTTTTGTTGTCTTTTCTGTCTGGGTGTGATATTGACTTTGCTGGGCGAACCAGAATCTCTGTGGTGCGTTTGTTGATCGTGATTTGATAATGACACCCAACAGCAACGACAGCATCAATATCAATGGCGGTTCAATGCTACAGAGCCAGGGACTGCCGGAGTCCAGAGGAGGTGACGGAGGTGGTGGGCACGTGGTGGAGGGCCGCAAGGGTCTGAAGAAAGGGCCGTGGACGGCCGCCGAGGACCAGATTTTGATGGATTACGTGAGGAAGCACGGCGAGGGAAATTGGAACTCGGTGCAGAGGAACTCGGGCCTCAACCGGTGCGGCAAGAGCTGCCGTCTGCGGTGGGCCAACCATCTCCGCCCCAATTTGAAGAAAGGCTCCTTCTCTCCGGACGAGGAAAGGCTCATTCTTGAGCTCCACTCCAAGTACGGTAACAAATGGGCACGCATGGCTTCTCAGGTACCTACTGTTTACAAAATGCTTTTGGAAAAAGCAACTTTTATTTTTCATCATTTCATCTTTTCGCCTGACTTCAATTCTGGGTTTTTGATTTTTGGTGCTGCAAATAAAATCTATGTTTTTGTTTTTTTTTTAAAAGAAACAAAATGCTGGAATTTGGCTGCTTCTTTTCTTCCTTCTCCCGCTTTTAAAAAAGCAGTTTTTTTTCTGCAATTGCTTTCTGTTACGAAACAAACACTCAATTAATTTTTCATTTTTGAATTTTACTTTTTGGTTTTTAGTTACCTGGACGAACAGACAACGAGATAAAGAACTACTGGAACACGAGGGTGAAGAGGAGGCAACGCCAAGGATTACCATTATACCCCCATGACATCAAGCAATCCCAGCATTCCTATTCCCATTCCCATTCCCATTCCCATTCCCAACCCACAACCACTCCCCAAAACTCCCTTCAACCCAACACCAATAACTCCCCATCCCCAACTTTTTGCTTCCAAATCCAAAGCCCTACCCAAACCCACCACCACCACCACATCCCACCGCTCTCCCCAACTACTCCGTGTCTCTCTCCTCTCTCCTCCCCTCACCAACCCAAACCCACTTCTCTTACTTCCCTCCCCCTCTTTGACCCCACCGCCACCGCCTCCACCTCTTCGTTCTCCTCCTCTACCCCCTCCTTCACCTTCCACCGCCCCGCCCCCATCCTCGGTGCCCCGCTCCGCTACAAACGCTGCCGCGACTCCGTTGGATATTCCCCGCCGATCTCCCCAACCCCGCAACGGTACACTTCGATTCTACGAACTAGCTCGATGCCTGACATCGCCTCCTTTCAGTTGACAGCTGCTGGCACTAGCACGATGCCCGATATATCTTCCTTTCAGTTCCCGAGGACTTTTAACAACCCTTTCCCGCCAATGCCACCAACACAGTTCGAGTACTCCGACGGTTTGTTGTCGCCTTCCGGCTCAGTTTACTCAGTCCAGTCGGAGCTCCCTTTAAACCAAGTTTCCCAAATGCACTCCGAGATTACCATTGATGCCAACGTAAGCTCAGCAGTGGCGGCGGAGTCAGTGGCCGATGAGAATAACAGCGGTAATGGGCTACTGGAAGACATGTTACAAGAGGCTGAGGCATTAGCTCGCGGTGGCTGCGGCGGTGGTGGAAACAATAATTCACGGATGAGAGGAAATGGGATGTTGGGTTCGTTTGATGAGAAGCAAGTGTCGGATGATTATGGCCGGTGGCTGCAGTCTACAACCTCCATGGCTAGCTCATTATTCGGTGAATTATATTTATAACTTTAGTTCAGCATTTATTAATTAATTTCTGTTGCTTTTAAATACCACTGTTTCATTGTGTGCATGCAATTCAATTTGTCAGACAAATCTGCGCCTCTGAGCGAGGAAGTCTGAGATCATTACAGCTCGTCTCATGCTCATCCTTTTACTTCCTATTTGCGCAACCTAGTTCTCTTCCTCTCTTTCTCTCTTCCCTAGGAATCAGTTTTTCTTTCTCAACTTTTTTTGTTGATTAATCTGCTTATCATAAATAATTTACATTTTTTTCTCTCTATATACATGCAGAAGCAAAACCAATCCATGATGATCACCTGAATTCAATGCCTGAAGACTTGTCAAAGCTGTTCAGCTTCATCCCTTCAACCGAGCCAGTCTCCGATTGGTATAGCGACAGCGGAGAACTCTCCAATGGTCACTCGTCGGGCATGACAGATACCAGTTTGGATTTTGACATGCAGCATATGGCCTCATTGTTCCCCATTACTGCCACAGGAGAGCATGGGAGAGCCTCTAGCTCTTGGGATAACTTGCCTGGGATTTGCTGAGGATAGTTCCATCTATATACATAACAGAATAGTATATATAATTACATATTATTAAGAGTGAAATAAAAGCTCTGATGGCTTAATTAAAAGAAAGTGTATTTTTTTAAGTAATTTCCTTGATGGTGTTTGTTTTCATCATGGTTATCATTGTCTTCAGACTTACCAGACCTGGTATATATTGTAATATTAATTTATGTTTATGTAGAGAGCTGAGCCTTACTGATAGATAAGGGTATTCTACGTTTTCTTTTTTCCTGATCAATAATGGATCCTACGTCATTCTTTGTTTCTGATCGCCTAGGGTTTCTGGTTCTATTCGATTCTTTTCAATTAGCTTGAATTTTAAAATTCACTTACTTGCAGTGATTGATTCGCTAGGATTATGATTCAATAGGATAGGGTTGGGTTTTTCTCAGTCGCATCTCTGATTTTGTTCCTTTTGTAAGCAGCACCAAGACAAAGACGAGATGCTTGTGCCGTGCTCGGATTTTGTCGAAGGCGCTCAGCCTGTAAAAGGTTTAATTTTTAATCATTTTTCGATGATTTGATGCCTGAAATTCTCAAGTTTGTGTTTGCGGTGTGGTTTTGAAGCTTTTCTGTGTTGCATAATCGATCTGGTGTGGTTAGAGTTTAAGTGATTGCACTTTCTTTAGGGCTTTGATTTTCTTGTTTGGAAATAAATTATGGTATTTGATTTTCTTGTAGTCTACACCATCTTCGGGGAGAGTTATCAACTGAAAGCTTGTTGACAACGCAGAAAGCAACTGAACTGTCATAATTTGATTTCTGTTTTTAAAGGCTTTTTGAAGAAGTTAATTGTTTTGGCTTCTTTTGATATCCTTTTTCTGTAATAAGCATTGTGGCATCCAACACATAATTGTTTTGGCTTCTCGGTTTGCCACAGGTGGGTGCCCTGTGACGAGGGGTAATAACTTGTTAAAGTTCAATGACTATTTTCAGATTGAAGAAGGAAGTAGGAATGAAATCACAGATAAGAAAATGAAGAGAACTTTGATGCTTCTGCTCTCTGTTAAAGTCTCAGAGAGAATGTTCTTACTCTTGCACTCTGTGCATAACAGATGAAAATACAATATATGTTCTCACTACTGAAAAACAGAAAGATGATCTCAGCCACTCATCTAACTAGATTCTAGGATCCTTACACATGTCACTTAGACACAATTACACTATGAGCCCTACACTTGGTGAGAATTACCAAAGTGAATACACAACTAAATACAAGGCTTATTCATTTCAAAATAAACAGATTAGCTCAATGCTTATACACTAACATAACTAACAAGTGGTACGTCTTGTTACTTTCAATCACTTATATCTGAATGAACTGCCATTTGAAGTAAATATTCTTTTAGCCAATTCTTAATTGAGTTGCATCCTGCATAAAAACCTTTAAATGCTAAAAAGTCAGTTCATGTAAAGGTACATCGTGTTACATTCTGCCTTCGTCCATTACTAACCAACTTCCATTTCATTTCATGTTTTAATATCAACAGCGTTAATACTTTTACAGCTTTCAAGTTATGAAGTTGTGAACTTCTCTTGACTTGATTCAGTACATATATGTTTCTATTTTTGCTCTGCTTCAAAATGCATGTTTGACTTTTATTTACCTATTACTATGTAGGGATGGGCAAATACTTACCTATTACTAAGTAGGGACGGGCAAATACTCATCGGTTATGGGTAACCGTGGTTACCCGCCTATTTAAATATCATAGTTATGGTTATGGGTAACCCTTTAGATAAATAAACGTTTATGGATATAACAGTTTACCTGCAAAATTTAAATGGGCTGTTATGGGTATTAACCGCGGTTATAAACGGGTAACCATTTACCCATTTATTTTATATATGTAAAATTAACACAAATCATGTTCCCTATCGGACAAAACTTAGATCAATGCTATTGATTATAGTGCATGATTTCTATAGCTAATATAATATAGTTTTCCTTAACCACTTTAAATTTCATGGTTCATTATATATATTATATTAATATTTTACATTCTGAGTCAAATAACCCAAGAATACTGTCTTTTAACAGTTTTCGTAACCCAAGAATGCTTAGCAAATTTTATATTACCTTCATTGCTAACGGTTAAAAATATCGTCTGTAAACTATTATTTTAATTATTGGAATGGTACACGGACTTAAAAAATTAAAATGCGGAAATGTATGATGAATATACCTATAACGGTGTTTAATTGTTAGAAAAACAAAATTATGACAAATTTTTCTTTTTTAATTTTCAAGTTGTTAAAAAACACGTAGAAGGGTGAAAAAGGAGTAAATGGTAAAAAAGAAATGATAAACGGGTACTAAACGGTTACGATTAAATAGGTACACAGTTATGGGTATGGTTAACCGTTTATAAACGGTTACGGGTATGGGTATAACCGTTTAGACAATTACCCAATGGGTAAACAGTTATGTGGATATGAAAATAAACAGTTATGGATAAATAATCGCGGTTACCTGTCAGCCATAACCGTTGCCCATTCCTATTACTAAGTGAGGTGTTTTCTAATTCCTCTTTGACATCGTAACTTGTTTACATTGGGTTTTTTTGTTGGAATTATTGCTGTCAAATTTACTGTGTTGTTTCTTTTATGATCATGCAATTGATGACCTTAGTTTTGGTAACTGAACATTTTTTTAACACAGTTTGATGAACAAAAGGATCAAGTGACAGGTGATCGAATTTTGCGGGTTGAATTTTGGATGCAGAGCACCCCGGGTCATGTAAGTTGGTTGTGTGATGGTACTTTTGTTTCCATCTAGTAGAGAATATAACTAGTCTCCGGAAAAAACGAAACAAACAATGCGCCTATGCACAATCTTTTGGTTTGTTCTGTTATAGTGGAGAGAGAAATACTTGGCTCGGCAACAAGTTGAAGCAGTGGGTTCAGTATGCATACGAAGCATTCAGCCATTGCTAAAGGTATTTAGGTCATCTCCAACTGAAGGCTGGCCAGATGGCTTGTTTTAGCCCTCTGACCCTCCAAGAAATTAATATTTTAATGAATAGTGCAAGGTCATATTTCTTACCATCTCCAACCAAGGGCCAAAGGGCCATAGAGCTCGTTTTAACCCTATCACAAAAAATCATCTCCAACCGAGGGTCAAAGGGCTATAAGGTTATAGGGCCAAACATATTATTTAAATTTAAAAATTACAACAACTTAAATTAAATGCACATTTACCATGTATAAATGCACATTTACCATCTCTAATAGGAAGCTTATATTTGGGGCACCTATTATATTTGTCCCATCGAGAGAGAAATGAGCAAGCAAAAGCTTGCATGTGTGGCACCCATTATATTTGTCCCACATCGGCTGTGGGAGAGGTTTGAGCAATCAAACATGCTTATAAAAGCAACATCCCCACATAGAACAAATCACTTTTTTGGGTCTTAATTAAATATTCTTTTTAAATTTTTGGCCCAAAAAAAAACTGTAAAAAAATTCAAAAATAAAGGCTAGCTGATGTTAGCTAGCCGTTGAGATTCAAATTTTTTAGCCCGGCCCAGGGATTGCTGGCTAGCTCATTTGGGCTGGTTGGCCCTTTGACCCTTTTTTGTCCAATGAGGCCCACGAGCCCCTTGGCCTGACCCTCGGTCAGAGATGGCCTTAGTGTAAACATCTTAGTACCTTATTGTAGTATGCATACTAAGCTTTCAGCCATGGCTAACTTGAACAATCCACTAAGAAGAAGACATAGATGATTGAGAAGTGTTATGCGATCCATGTCACCAAATCCTGTCGCTTGTTTTAATTCCACTTCTACATGTTTTAGCATCAAAAACTCTATCAAAGGCAGAGAAACATATATTTTAACACCTATATATACAAGTTGGCTTATTTTCAGAGTTCAGACCATTTTTAGGTATACAGAATTGTTTGATGGCTTAATTTGCAACTTTCCTTTTTGTCACCTATAGATGTTCGAAGAGATACTGCACATACCCCTCCCTAATTAGGGAGTATCAGATTCATTAGTTTACATTATATATCATGCATGTTTTGTGATGTGAGATACTATAGTTGTCTCAAAGTTTTAGTGAAGTTGTACTTTTAAGTCAAGTGATTTAAGTTTAAACTGATCTATTCAGTTTTCATCGAGCGAAAAAATAGTCTGCTTATGTTGATTTCATGCTCATTGTATTTGTTGTCTATTCTAAGATACTTTCATCGTTGAGTGATTTTGATTTCTATTATTTTCAGTAAGTGCGGGATGAAAATGGAGCTGCATGCAGTGGTTAAAGGGGCAGAGAAGAGAGTACATGATGCTTTCATTGATATTTTCAGTAAGTCAAATAATATGGATGTTGAATGAAAATGGAAGGAATGATGGAAGCTTGGTGCATGCGCTTTACACCTTTGGTGCTGCAGTGCGCAGTAGCAAAGGTTGAAATCCAAGACAAATATACATCTTTCATGCACCTTGAATCTTATTTACACAATCTCTGCTTGATTTCATCAGAATTAACCGAATGTGTTTTCACTGCTGTAGGTCATGTAGAGGAAACCATCTTCATCTTTGTTTTCCTCGTAGATAGCCGACATCATAGCAGCTGTAATACCACAAACCCAAATACGCGTTCAGGAATAGGGACCGACATGGTATGTATAGTATACATGACACATTTTTGGAGTAGTATTCTCACCAGTGGGTGGCAAAATGTTCTTCACAAATATAAATATGGCCTTCTCCGCACTGAGCTTAATCCTCTTCCGGACTACATAAACAAACTGCCCAACCGTCAAATCAGCAGGAACCAGATACCTGTTTCCATCATTGACCATTACAAGAAGCCAATCCACTGAGATTATGAACTATACAAAGAATGTTTTACAGATACTGAAAAAAAAAATAAAGTTGATAACATATCAGCTTCAATCAAGCACTAGTTCTTCTCAATTCCTTTATAACTTGTTTTCCCATTAACTACTTTAACTGTTTGGTATAGCTACGAGAAAAAAAATATAGTATCAACATATCAGGCGAGAATCTGTGATGGTAAGTATGGTTAAGTTTAAGATCAACAATGCATAACTTGTCTGTGGACTACAGGAATCTCACACAGAATGAAAAAAAATCTCGGCTGGCCGCACAAAATAATATAAAAATTAAAACTTCTCGGTTTGGTGACTTTGGTCACATCAGTAACTGAAGATAACCCACCTGTAAATACATATACTCAACACATACAAGTGCTCAAACGTGTATTCTTATGACATAATGAACTTACAGAAGTATGTCTACACAGTTGCAAGTGTTAAAAGAAAGACATTTTTCGAAACAATAACATTCTGAAAAATTGCAGGGTGCCAGAAAGCAAGGCACACAAAAACACACTAATGCAGAGCTGATCTTTTGCGAGACAGTCGCATATAGGTTTTACACGACAAAATGAATCCGAGCCGTCACAAATGTGGTCCTTGAATTAGATGACTGACACAGTCCTTCCCCACTCTCTCTCTCTCTCTCTCTCTCTCTCTCTCTCTCTCTCTCTCTCCTGCCCAACCACACTCTCTCTCTCCACTGCTTCCCTCCCCCTCCTCCTCGTCAGAGACCCCAACCAAGACAAGATTGGGACGCGGATCTCCAATGAAAGCACAAACCAATGACCAAATCATAAAAATCCGAAACATGAAGATTTGATTGGTTTGAATAAGGCAAGGTTACCTGCCAAAAGTTTTAGCATCCCTACCACACCAGAAAAGGTTTCATTTAAGAATATTTCAATGGTGTTGGTGAAAATTTAGGCAGTGGTTTGGTGGCGGTTGTAGTGCTTTTTTGGAGTTAGGATGGTGGTGGGGTGGAGGGCAAGGATGATTTTCTCGCTTGTTCTTTTGTTTGGGGTTTCCAACAAGGAAGATGGAAAGAGAGGTAAGAGGTGGAGAGGAGGATAGAGTGTGGTGGGGCAGAAGCGAGAGGCGAATGAAATTAAAGAAAATAAAAATATTTTCCTTGGTACACATGTCAGTCATCTAATTCAAGCACCACTTCTGCTTTCTACGGACAACTCGGATTAATTTTTTAGCGTAAAATCTATGAAAATTGCAGTCGCGCAAAAGATCAGCTCTGTATATGAACTTCAAAAAGACAACCTTCTAAACATTGGAGAATGCTAGTAAGCAAGTCAGAATGAAGCCTTGACCTTACCAAAGAAGTGTGTGCATGTGTCTTTCTCTCTCACTCATCACATTCTTGAAATTGAAAACCTTTTGGAAAATTACATAACTCAATCAAGAAAGCCTCAAGGAGTAATCAACAAAACAGGAAGAAACATGATTAAGAACAGACAAGATACAAAGAGCATATGAAATACAAACGGAGACTGACTTTTTCTTGTCAATGTCTGGTATGTCACTTCTTTCAGCCTTCTCCACAATTACCTATATAAACACAATTAAAGAAGAATACGAAAACACATAATTAAAGAACCACATACGACATGAAGCACATGAAAAAGGATCTTAAAAGTGTTATTACAAGGCACTGCAGTTCAAGTCCAAGGCTAAATGAGTTCTGCATGTGCTATTTTTGCAACGTTCAAGGGTAAAAACATTTTTTTTGGATTTAATATTTGCATTAATTAACATTTTAAGAAGTTATATTTGATAATTTTCAAGAAAGAAGTTAAATTTGATAAATTTCGAGAAAGAAGTTAAATTTGATAAATCACATTGTGCTTAGGCTCTACAAGGCCTTAGCTTCTAACTGAACAATTCAGCCTTCTTAACACGGCCTCTTCATGAACTAGAAATGATACTCAATAGTCAATATTCATACCGGAATTCTGTCAGGATACTTCTCCCTGATCCGAGCAGCTTCTGCCTGCCTCCTCTCTGGCACAAAATAAGTTAAAATAGAGAATAAGGAACAAACAAATAACCAGCTGGCCTAGATATACTGGAAGATGTAAGAAACATAGTTTGATGCTGCCTTTCCATGACCATTCCTACACATCCAAAGTTAAATAGTTTGGCAAGCAACACCATGAGTGGTTAGTTACTTCGATACGCTTCCATTTTCATTCGCAGGCTCCAACTACTATTCATTTTCACCTGCTCAATATTCTTTGCTTAATTCTCATGCATGACTCCACTACTACTAATTTAGTAAATCAAGAAAAAAGAACGTCGCACAAAGTATAATTACAATTTACAATCAAAACAGAAATGTCTAGATCAATTCAATCACATAACCACAAGTAATGAACATATGTTGGGAGAGAAAACTATCATCCCAATCAAATCTTAAAACAGCAACAACCCAGATCATATAACTCACAATTATACAGAGGAAGAACAAGAATTGGGGAAAAGAACTGAATTTCACACAAAACCCAAATCAAAGCATTTATCTTAAACCTAATTGAATAAAGAATACAACTTTTAAATCTTTGGTTCCACTATTAGGGAAATTGCAAGATACACATCGATCAATAAAATTCAGGGTCACTCAAGATCAATCACAATCCCATCAGTACACAAAACATAAAATACTTGTGTGTTTGTGTGTTAGAGAGAGAGAGAACCGAGTGGGTGTTCGAGCTTGAAGGAGCTTTTGGCCATGGAGGATTAGCTTTGACTGTTTCTGTAGCACTTCTGAGTTCCGATCAACCACAGAAAATGAAACAAATTACAGTTTCTGATCGAAAACGAGGGTAATAAAAAAATTACAAAAGAAAAAAGCCCCTTTCTTTATTATAAACTTGTTACCAGAATATCTTGTGAAGAATAAGAAAGGAACAAAATTTGGGAAAGAACGAGAGAGATGAGAGAAACGTTGAGAATTGGGAAGCTAAGATGATAATACTCAATGGAGTCAGAGTGTGACTAGACAACTACTTTTTCCTAGTCATCAGGAAGAGTTATTCTCCGAAGGAAAGAAATCGGCTGCTGAAGAATTCAGCAGCCGGTTCTGTTTACAATTAATCCGCATAGACACGTGTACAAGTTTTTTATTAAAAAATCAAAACTTACACATGTGTTCATCACGGATTGGTTGTAAACATAACCGGCTGCTGAATTTACAGCAGCCAAGTTGTGTTTTTCTCCGAATTCTGACCTGAATTTGTAAAGAGTTACCATTTTTTTTTAATTTTAATTTTAATCAATTACTTATCTAAATTTTTATAATTGGTTAATTTTCTTTTAGAATTTTACTTTTACTCCTGAACTTTTAAAATTGACCAATCTTTCTCTTGAACTTTAATTTTAGATGATTAGCCCCGAACGTTTGTCATTGCCAGTCTCTAGTATTGATTTTGTTGAGATGAGTAATTACTCTTTTTATTTGAATTTGGGTCATGAATTGAAATAGGTGAACCAAAATAGTCACGTGAATCAAGTAAGGCTAATAAATTGGCACCACAACCCCAACATGTTGCTGAAAAAGTAAGGGACAAGGATTGTCTGCCCTCCACTTCCGGTGCCCTTCCCGTGCCCTCCTGTTTTGTGTGGTCACAGTTAAGTCACATCAACATTTTATATTATTTTTTTTATAGATATAATAAGACAAAATGAATAGTAATATAAAATGTTGATGTGGCTTAACCGTGACCACACAAACAGGAGGGCACGGGGAGGGCACTGGAAGTGGAGGGCAGACAATCCTTGTCCAAAAGTAAGACCATAGAAAAGATTCATAGTTGTCCACATTAGGGATAGAGTTCAAACAAAAACTGTACGGAGTGAATTAGAGCAAAAGAAGAAATAAATGTTATCCATATTGGGGAAAAAATTATATTTTTGCCCTCAGATTATTGTCATGTGCCATGCACGTGACCAAGATAGATGAAAAATTCCAAAATCTAACACTGGGGAAATTGGCTAATTATAGAAGTTCAGTGGTTAACTGGTTAAAATTAACTTTTAGGGAGAAATTGACCACTTATAAAAGTTTAAGGGCTATTTGGCCAAAATTAAAGTTTAGGGCAAAAACTGGTAGCTCCTTATAAGTTCGGGGAGGGAATCAACAATACCTCTATGAGGCAAACCAAATTTCTTCACCTTTTCACTCTTACTGATTCTTCTTCAACGTCATGTGGCCCAATAGAAAACTGGTTCAGTTCTACTTGAACTAGGCCGGACTATGGTATTTTTTATGATCCTACTTTATTGTGGTAGTTACTATTTTCCTGAACTTTTATAATTTGCCAAATTTTCACCTACCATTAGTTTTTCGAGTTTTCCATCCAACAGTTCGTCCGTTTTAGTCATGTGTTATCCACGTGAGAGACTTCTAAAGGTAAAACAGTCATTTTGTCCTCACTAAACCCTATATCCGCAACCTATTCTACATGTTTACCCTACTGTTTAATTCTTAGCATGGAACAAAATAACTTGTTTACCCTCAAAAAATACGTAACAAAAATGGATGAAATGTTGGTTGGAAAACTAGAAAAACTAATGGTAGGAGAAATTTTGGCAAATAATAAAAGTTCAGAGAGTAATTGACTAAAATAAAAAATTAGGCGGAAAATTGGCAATAGCTTACAAATTCATGGGGCAAATTGAAGATACCTCTCAACTAATGTATCCCCATGCAACCATTTTTGTGTTTATAACACCCAAGAACTTAGGAATTGGCTACAATACTTATATGTATTAAATACAATCACCATCTAATGGTTATATATAATTTGTGTATTTGATACAATTACTATTACAGTGTAGTGGTATTCCGATTCACATGTAAGTGAGAAGTCTTCGGTTTGATTCTCGCCAAAAGCGAATTAGAACCACATTATTTCCAGCCCATTGAGAGGCTAAGCCCACCCTCCTCCCCTTAGCGTAGATAATATCGTTTATTTAAAAAAAAAAATATATATATATATATAATTACTATTTGACCGTTGAAAGGGTGACTTTATTAATTTTATGCAAGTATTATATTCAAATCTAAGAAGTTTTATCCCTATAATCTTTCGGTAGAATGATATTTTATTTTAAGAGGTGATAAATTTGGGTTTATCAGAAATAAAAGAAATCATTAAAAGCAAGTTATACTTGACGATGTTTTTGGATTTATTAGTGTGATTAGAGAAATTGTAGTCTCTAAAACTGGACTGTGGATGTGGCTCGTGGAGTGCCAGAGTAATTCTTGATAAGAAGCATCTATAAGAGACTATTCTAAAGGATAGCTAGCTAAATTTACTTGTGAACAATACATAGTTAGATATAGTTAAGAGAAATGGTTTAACGGAAACAAAATATATATTTACAGAAAAACACCTTCTCTCCGCGTGAGAGCTTTCTCTCTGAGTGAGAGTTTTTCTTATTGTGTGTTAGTGTTTCCTTTCCTAGTCTCCAATTCAACCTCCAGCCTTAGCTTCGGCCACGACCGGTGGTAGTCCCTATCGTTTTTCTTTTTCTATTTTATCCCTCCTATTTATCAGCCCTTGCGTATCAATTGGAACCACTCTTTGCCTCGATCGAAAAACTTCATTTCGCTGTCTCCATTTTCTCCTCTCCACTGTATTTTCCCCTCCATGCATCCACTATTTTCACCTTCTTTCCCTCCCACCTGTGATCACTCTCTATCGATTTCACTTTGAATCTGATATGCTCCCACTTTGTTCCGCCCCCAACAGCTTTATCGGAAAGTGCATAGAGCCTCAACTCGGGTGTTCGTACCACCACCTTCCACTTGTATATCAATCTTGGCACTGTTGTCAGTGGTTCCATTACATTCCTCCCTGATTTTATACCATTGGTGGCGGCGGATTAGTTCTATGTGGAGTTTGATGGAGGAAGTCGAAATCTGCTTCTCTTTTTGTTGTTGGGGCTTGGTTAGTCTTCACCTCTGGTGTTTGTTAGGTTGCTGGTTCATGGTTGCCGAAACTTGCTTTGATGGCGGCAAGGGAACTAAGAGGCTAGGGTTTTTAGTTTTTTTTTTGTGTTTTTCTTTTTCGGGCTCAACCCTCGAGTTGGGTTGTTGTGTTGGCCCATCTTTATTTGTGTTTAGTTATGGGCTTTTATTTTGTATGTAAGTTTCTGGTAATGAAAGTTTACTTTTTATCAAAAAGAAAAAAAATAAAGTTAAGAGCAAGAATTTAACCCGTTATTTAGATCATGAGTGAAGAATTTTGACTAAGTATATAATGAGCCAGCAAAATTTACCCAAAGTTAAACATTAAATATTATTTGTTCGTACCATACTTAACCAATCCCGAAACTACTGATCACCGGTTAACGTTATACTTTCAAGGACCCAGAAGAGTTTCCCTCCAACCAGGAGGCCAATCACAGTGCGACACGTGTCGACATCAGAAGCCAATCATAGCATGACATGTGTCAACATTAGAAACCAATCACAACACGACACGTGTCAATGTCAGAATGAAACTAGAAACCCTCTTCTATAAATAGAGATCATTCTCTCACAATATTTCCTAATGTCATTTGTACTAAATCATTCACTAATACTCACAAAAGAAAAGCTTGAACCTATGAACTTATGTAAACCCTTCACAATTAATAAGAACTCCTCTACTCCGTGAACGTAGCCAATCTGGGTGAACCACGTACATCTTGTGTTTGCTTCCCTGTCTCTATCCATTTACATACTTATCCACACTAGTGACCGGAGCAATCTAACGAAGGTCACAAACTTAACATTTTCTGTTGTACCAAAGTCCCCACTAATTTTGTGCATCAACATTTGGCGCCATCTGTGGGAACGACACTTATTCCCACTCTCTTCAGCTTTGTTAAGCTGGTTTCCACCATTCGTACACTCTCTTTTGACTAGGCATCCCTTTCCAATATGGAGAGCGAAGGAAGCCACAGCACACAGAATGACACCCCTCTTGCACCTGGTGCGAAGCAACGAAGAAATGAACAAAAGAAGTTTGCTCTTCAAGCTAAAGTTGAGGAGCTGGAAGCTCAGTACAACAAAATAATGATGAAGAATGAGATCCTCCAAGAGCAGTATGAGAAGGTCTTCGAGATGCTCCACGAGGCTAGATATACTAAAACACACGAGCTCATCACCCATGTGGAAGTCAACCATCAATTGGGTGCCCCCCAACACGTAGGGTCATTTGCCCTCGACATGGGTATTCCTGTTGAGGAACGAGCTACTTATCGAAATGGCAACCAACATAAGACTTCTCTCAACCTAGCAACTTCGACCAGAAGTAGGAGGAGTAGAGGAAGGCACCTCCTTACAGAAGGAGTGGAAAGATCGAAAGCCGTCTTTCACGACTGTCGAGACTTTCTAAAGCAACGTCGAGAGAATCCCATCCATGTAAGCTCGAAGATCAATGACCCAAGGGTCTCTGAAAGACTCGATCCTCTCCCATGTCCCAGGCCAGCTACCAATTTGAGGAAGAGGAAACAAGTCCTAAAGGAACACGAAGGTATAGGGGACTCAGAGATGTTTCGACAGACATACCTTGGAAGTCAGTACGGCGAGTCCAGGGAAAAATCACATGCTCTTGATCAAACCTTCCTACTTCCAAGAGGAGATGGAGATTTACGAAAGAAAGCTCCATTGGTACATGACTCCACTCAGGACCCTCTTGTCCTACAGCTCCTTAAGGAAGTAAACAAGTTGAAGGCCGAACGACAAGTTGAGATACCTGATTGGAACCAACCTAGGCCTGGCCCTCTTACAAGGAGGATCATCGACACCTCCTTCCAAGCAAAGACAAAGCAGAAGCTTGGCTTGCAACTCTATACTGGAAAGGAGGAACCGATTGAATACCTTAACCTCTTTGAGTCCACCATGGTATACCGGATGCATACCGACGAAGAAGACAGTGTGAAGCAAAACCTTGATCAAGATAGTGTGAAGCAAAACCAATTTATGGTGCCAACAAGAG